CTCCTTGTAGTTACCGCCATAACATGATTGTTCCCACCCTTCGGGTTTACTACCGTATCACTTGGTAGAGCCCCCTTAGGGCGAGTATTCAAGGACTATGAGATTTGGCCTAATTGAACCTCCAAATTTCTAATTGAAGTATTGTGGGAAGACAACCGAGCATCGGAATCCGCACTCTTTTTCATCATCTGTTCAAACATCACTTCAATTCTCCCCATGTCATTATTGGAAGAACTAGGACCTTAGGATAGAAATGGGGGTGGATTGTTTGGTTGTTGGTACATTGGGGGCCTTTGAAAACCTTGCCCCGGTTTCCTTGATTGCCATTGTTCCACCCACCTTGATTGTTGTTACCACCCCAGTTGTTGTTGTTACCATTTCAATTACACTGATTGTTCTGATTATTGTTCTGACTGCCCCAATTGGAGTTTTGGTTGTTGTTCCCCCAATTACCATTGCCTTATTGTTGTTGATTGCCCCAATTGCCTTGGGGTATCCATTGTTGTTGGTTAGAGAATTGCTCCTTTGGCCTTGATAATTGTTCACGTATTGCACCTCTTCATTCTGCCCATTATAACTACCATCTTGGAATCCACCACAATCATTGACAAATTGCTTTGAATTCCCTTGGTTCTATTGACCTCTTTGTCTTATTTTGTTGCCTAGCATATTAACACCCTCCATGGTATTCACTTGGCAAGGATTTTGAACTTGTTGCAATTGTGCCTTTGCTAGTTGGTTCATCGTAGTTGTCAACTCAACTATAGCATGCCCATGATCATGTAACTCTTTGTGAAAATGAGTGACCGTGGGGTCACCCTAGGGCATATTGGCTCTACTTTGCCAAGCAGAAGAAGTGTCAGCCATCTCATCAAGAATGTCACAAGCCTCATCATAAGACAGCTTCATGAAGTTACCCCTAGCAAGTTGGTTCACTATGCACTGGTTTGTTGTGTTAATGCCCCGGTAGAAAGTCTGTTGGATCATCGCCTTAGTCATATCATTGTTGGGGCATTCCTTTACCATTGTTCTATAGCGCTCCCAAATCTCATGCAATGGTTCAGTGGGCTCCTGCTTGAAAGCCAAGATCTCATCTCTCAATGCTGCCATATTCCCCGATGAGAAAATTTTTGCAATGAACTTGTCCGCCAACTCATCTCAGGTAGTGATGGAATGGTTGGCAAGTCGCTCGAGCCAATCCAATGCCTTCCCTCTAAGTTAGAATGGGAAAACTCTCGACCGAAGTGCATACTCGGACACATTAGTTTTCTTGCTCCCCCAACAGGTATCCACAAAACCCTTGAGATGTTTGTAAGAATTTTGATTGGCAGCGCTCATGAAATACCCACACTGCTCCAGCAATGTCAGCATCACATTGTTAATTTGAAAATTGCCCGCCTGAATTCGGGGTGGGGCAATTGCACTTCCATAGCCTTGGTTTGGAAGCACTCGAGGAGCCACTCTTGGAGGTGGCGGGGGAGGGCCTGGAATATTGTCATTGGCCTGTCGGCCTCTCCTTTAAGATTGAGGTACCACAGGGACCTCATCATTGATATTGTCATCTACCTCCTCCCCCAGCGGAATTTCTCCAAGAGGTGCGTTGTTTGCTGCCATTTAGTACCTAAAGTTGTGACACACACAAATTAGTAACACAGAAGGAAAGAAGAACAATACACAAAACTATTTAGATAGATAGCCAAAACCGTTAGCTCCCCGGCAACGGCACTAAAAAGTGATCGAGGCCAACCATGTACTACTACAAAGTAGCAAGAGAGGTCGAAGCAGCTTTTACCTGAGAAGGTCGGGATCGATTTTCACAGGGAGCTAGAGATTGGAGTTGAGTTTCTATCTAAATTGAAGTTGTGTATTTGTTCCTAATTGCACTTCTAAACATTGTTGGTTTTGATTTTACTTCTAATTTACACTACTAAGATGCTAAATTCGGCTAAGTAAAGCTAAGATTAAACTATTAAAAGTTGTTCAAATAGATAAAAGGCACTAGGGTAGTTACTTTCTCCTAGGTGGTTAATTGACGGATTCTTGAGTCTAAGGCTAGATTGTCACATTTGGGGAGTATGATATAACCATTACACGATTCTACTCACTCTATACCTCTCGGTAGTTCGAGTGATTTTGCCCGAATTGACTTTCTCAAGACCAACTGGGTGTGACAATTTGTGCAAGCAATTGAGGTTCAAGTCGGGTATTACTATATCTATGTTTAACCCTTTAATTGGGGCTATCAATCTCTTGAATACGCCCCAATTCCTTGTTGGACCAATTTCATAGACTTAGGTTCTCTTTCTCAAGAAGAGCCAAAAGTCAACTAGGCATAAACTAGTGTTTGCAACCACTAATTGAACATTAAAACCCCTAAATTAGTCCAAATATCAAACACCCATGAACAATCAAGCATTAAGACACAAGATCCATCAATTACCTACACTAGGGTTGAGCCACAACCCTAGCTAATGGGTCTAGATACTCATGGAAGAAAACAAAGAAATAGATGAAGAAAAGCCCATAATAATTAATTACTAGATAAAACTTGAAGATTCAATGATGAAATTAAGCTAAAATTACTCAAAATGGTAAAAATGAACTATTCACGAGTGCAGCTCTGGTCCAAAATACAACTGATGACCTAAAAAGGGGAAAAGAAACTATTTATACTAGGCTGAAAATTCTGGACAAAAATACCCCTACGGGGCTAGTGCGGCCACACTAAGGCTCTTGGTTAAATAGTTTGCTCTCTGAAGTTGCCCACGGCGGACCGCACAAAATGCTCTGCAGCCGCGGTGGCTTCTATTGTGGTCCGCATAAAATGGACCGCGGACTGCATTGGCCAGGTTCCTCCAAAATAGCACCTCTCTGAACTTGAGCTTTGCGGACCGCACAAAGTCGAGTGCGGCCGTTTGCGGCCGCATTGCCTTGCTGCCTGAATTGCATGCTTTCTGAACTTCATCTTTGCGGACCGCACAGAATGGTGTTCGGCCGCACTGATCCTATTAGACTGAGCTTGGCCTTGTTCTTGGTACTTGTGCATGTTTCACTCTTTTTTTAGATGGTTTTTGACAAATTGTCACCTTGTTGACCAAACCCTGCAATTAAGTACAACATGTGAGCCTTTGGGACTATTTTGTACACATTTCTAATCAAAACTTAAGCAAGAAGGAGTGTAAAATGCATCATAATCCCTAGTTATCACCTACTCAAACTCTCACTGAAATACGCCATCAACAAATCATCTTTCCTACCAACACTTCTCATTTCACTGCAATAACCCTTCATATGGGTTACTGGATCTCCACGCCCATCATACAAGTTAAACTTTGGCATTTTAAACCCCGCGGACAGATGAACATCAGGGAACACACACAAGTCAATGTAAGACATGTTAATCTGATTTCTCATCCCTTGCATGCTCCTTAAGGACTGTTCTATACCTTTCATCTTCCTAGATATCTCTTCTCGCCCTTCTTTTCCTGTGAACTTTTCATTTTTCAACATGAGCTCATTCCGAGGGCTATGATTGTATGAGTCAAGGACCTTGTAGGCAACTTCCAAGGGGTAATATTGGGCATCATGAGTTTTGAGTGGGTGTTCATTGTTGGATCTATGAAGGGAAGATTGTTGAGAAGTTGTGATCGTGGGGATAGTGGATATGACAGGAGGGAAATTTTTGGGAAAGGTAGTTGGAGGACGAGTGATAGAGCTACTAGGGTGGTTGGGAAAGCTGTGATAAGCATGAGAATTTGGAGAGTATGGGAGATCGTCTGGCACTATGACCGGAGTTTGGGTAAGGGTAGCATATAGGAAACTAGGTGGTGGCAGGGGTGGTGCCTTCCCAGTCATCCAAGCCTGATACATGTCCGTCATGTGTTGTCTTAACATCCTTACCTCTTCAACCAACCCATTGTCCTGTTCAACCAATTGTTTTTGTGCACCAGTACCAACCAACTCACTGTTGTTGTCATCTGCCATTGTCGTTCGACTTTATGTTGTAGAGAAGAGTTACCACTTTAAGAACCACAAACCAACCACCTTTCTGCTATAATAAATATAATAAAGAGGAACAAAATGAAGTTATCATGTTAGTGTTAGGGCATTTAACATAAGATAATCTCATTTTATGTGCAATGCACCTAGTCACAGTTATCAATTCTAAAATGTCTTCGAGGGTACAAAGGTCATATGGCATCATCCCAATTTCACTCTTCTTGCCCCGTTTCCTTCTCCATTTTCCTTTCTAGCACCGCTTGGTTTTTTATTACCTTTCTCCTCTTTTCTTTTTCCTTATCGCTCTTTTCTTTCCTCTCATTTCTCACGTCCCACAACTTCATTTACTTTTTTTCCTCTTTTTTTGTTGTTGTCTTTAATGCTTTTTTATTTAATAGTGATTCGATGGAACCCTATGCAAGTTGCCTACGTATTATGTCCTTCATGAATCAGATCAGGCGTAGTTCTGGAAATATAATAAACTAAAAACAAAAATCTTTTTGAGTTTTCATTTATAATCTTGTTTCGGTTTTCAAATATAAAACAGGAAATATGATAACGAGAGACTTGAAAAATTCAACTATACTACAACAAACTCTAACACTAACTAAAAGAGCCAGTGCTACTGAACATGACTATAAAGTACAAGACAACAAAAAAGCAGACTCAAAAAATAAAAAAATAAAAACCTCCTTAAGAAACTCCTAGGTGCAACGGTCCTGACCAAATGGTCCTGAGGTGTCTGTCATGCTCAAGCTCTGGTAAGTAGATCCACTCCTGTATGAGAAAAATAAGATCAAATAGAGTTAAAGACTTAGAACATTATGTGAGATAATAAAACATCCTATTGGACACATGCAAAATATGATTGAGGCTATTTTTTAAAATGGCTTATGTGGCCAAAAGGTAGCTAGAAGTGCAAACTCAACAAAAGTGACCTCTAAGATATGGAAAAATTACTTAGCAGAAATAACCCATTTTGTAGAAATGGCCTATGTGGCCAAAAAATGGCTAAGCATGCAAATTTAACAGAATGGACCTTAAACTGAGAGGACACCTTGTTGTGGACTTAGGACTCTATGACTTGGGTCACTGAACCACTTTTGCGAAAATGACCCCATTTTGCAACAATGGTCGATGTGGCCAAAAGCGGCTAGACATGCAAATTCGACAAGGATGGGGCTTTAAAGTAAAGAGATACCTAATTGTAGATTCAAGACTCTCCGGACAATTAAACAAACCACTTTACAAAAATAGTCATATTTTGCAAAATGACCGATGTGGCCAAAAGTGGCTAGACATGCAAGATTTGGCTATGACCCTCGAAGCCAAGAACTTAAGACTCACTAAGAAGACCAGACCCTATGTGGACTGCCAATGTATCCCACCCCAAAAAATGAGAATCAGGTATGCGTAGTTCGGGAAGATTGGATAAGGGCGAGAATTTTGAAATATGATGAAACATGTAAACTCTTTTTGGATTTTCTTTTTCCCTTTTTTGATTTTTTTTTCAAAAAATGATGGACAAGTGCAAAATCTTTTTTTGGGATTTTATTTTTGTCTTTTTCTTTAAAAAAATGTGAAATAAAAATATAACTGGGCCCTACTTTCTTTATTTTCACACTTCACCTTCTTTTCTCTCTCATTTATCCTCAACCATTATTGGTCCGTCAAATGACCCTTTTTACCCTTGAAGAATGGAACATGTAGCACATAAGATGCATCAGGATGGTCTTTTATTTTTGGGTACACCTGCCCTAGACGGACCCAACCCCTGTGTTGAGTCTCCAAAGTCAAATGCACATGATGCAAACAAACGTTCCTACTAGGGATTAGGCATGAGACTATGTTATTCTAGGTTTAAATTTAGGGTTGTGTTCTAGACCTGGCTTACCCGAACGGACAACTCGAGCCGGGGGGGAGCATACCGGGAATACAGAAGCTTCGCCGGCTTTGCAAATAATCCGAACCTCGTTCTAAAATTGGGATATGACTCTAACAGAAAAGAAGCCACACGAAGCGCACGCTTCCCAAATGATTTAGAAGACTCAGAGAGAAGAGGGTTTCGTAATAGTTTATATATAGTCCAAGAAATATCAAAGTGGTAAAAAACGACATTTAGCACATTAGGCTCAAACACGTAAAAATTAGATAATAAATAAAAGCTAACTATAACAGTTATTCTAAGCTTGAATTCTGAACCCTGAACAAGATGTTCTGGGTTCTTCTCCCCAGTAGAGTCGCCAGAGCTGTCACACCTCCTTTTTTCCCGCAAGGGATAGGGAGTTTTTCCAATTAAAGTGACAATAACCGAAACGGGATTATTTATATTCAAATTCAGAGTCTCCACTTGGGACAATTTATGGTGTCCCAAGTCGCCGGTTTAAAATCCCGAATCGAGAAAGTTAACTCTTATTTTTTATCTTCGAACACAAAAATTCGGGTAAAGAATTCTGTTAACCCGGAAGAAAGTGTGAGGCACTTCCGAGTTTCGTGGTTTTAGAATGATCGCTTAACTATTAATAATTGGCCTAATTATCTGTGATGACCCTAAAGGTCATCTTTTATTTTAGAAGTTAAATTTGCATCCCGAGGCCTTGAAAATCTCTTTTTGTCTCACCTCATATTGCGTGCACACTCCGGGCGAATTTCCAGAAAGCTTTTATGTGAAATTTAAGAAAAATAATGAAATTGGCCTTTAAAATTGGTTAAAGTTGACTTTGGTCAATATTCTTGGAAAACGGACCCAGACCCTTGATTTGACGTTCCCGTAGGGTCCGTAGTAAAATATGGGACATGAGCATATGCCCATAATCGAATTCTGAGGTCCCAAGCCAGAGAAAAGAATTTTTGAAGAAAATTATTTGCTGGAAAATATAAAGGCTTTTAGAAGTGAATTGAAGCATTTTCTTGATGGTATCGGGCCCGTATCTTGGTTTCGGAGCCCGGTACAAGTTTAAAATAATAATTAAGTTGGATCTGTGAAATTTGGTAATAATCGAAAGTGGTTTTGTATAAAACAGACCTATAGTTGAGAAAATAGAAATTTCAATGTTCTTGAGTGATTTCATGAATTTGAGATTTAATTCGTAGTTGTTGATGTTATTTTAATTATTTGATCGTACGAGCAAGCCCATATGATGTTTTAGACTTGCGTGCATAACTGGTTTGGAGACCTGAGGGCTCGAGTGAGTTTTGGATAGGCCACGGAGTGAATTTGGACTTAGAAAAATTACTGGTATGTTGCAGCTGTGTAACAAGCCTTTGATCTCGCAAATTTGAGATCAGACCTCGCAAAATGCGAGGTGCTCAGGTTTGGGAAATGCGACCCCGGTGTCGCAAATGCGTACCAAGCATGGGCAGGCCCTCTTCGCAAATGCGAGCACTAGGTGGGAATTGCGAAGTCCGCCCATCGCAAATGCGATATTTTCCTTCGCAATTGCGAAGATGACAGGATTCCAAAGGGGTTCACAATTGCGACATCTGAGACCTGCTAAATGAGAATTTTGATGGGATTTCATCGATTTTTCATACTCTTTCAAACCCTAAACTCTCTTGGGCGATTTTCCAAAGAAAGATGCTTCTCCAAATCATTAGTATGTAATTTCTAACTTACTTTCTTCAATCTATAACATCTTTTTACATGATTTCATTTCAAAATCAAAGGTTTTTCATGGGAAATTGGGTGTTTTGGGGTAGAAGTTAGGATTTTCAAATTTTTGGGGATTTGGACCTCGATTTGAGGTCCGATTTCAAAACTAATTACATATTTGAGTTCATGAGTGAATGGGTGATCGGGTTTTGGTTCGAACTTCGGGTTTTGACCAAGTGGGCCCGGGGTCGATTTTTGATTTTTTGGAAAAATTATTAGAAAACCTATTTTCATGCATTGGAATTGGTTTATTTAGCATTTATAGATATCGTTAAGTAAATTGTGACCAGATACAAGCGAATTGGAAGTGGAACCGAGAGGTAAAGTGGTAGTATAGGCTTAATTTATCTGTGGAATCGAGGTAAGTATTTGGCCTAACCTTAGCTTGAGGGAATAGGATTTGTGGTTTATTTGCTATGTGTTTGTATTGAGTACGATGTATAGGTGTGGTGACGAGCATCTATACGTTGGTGTCAACCATACCCGTGAGTCTTATATCATGATTGTTGTGACTCTATTATGTATCGATCATGCTCAAATTGATGATTGTTAATGTTGAACAAAGCTTATGAAAGTCTTTTGGTAATTGATTATCGTTGAGAACTGGCACAAGTTGAGTTTCATTTTTGTAAAGTAATTGTTTAAAACGAGATTGGTTATTGCTGAATCCCTTGCCGGGATGTTTTGTTGATATTGTTGATTACCTTGCTGGATGTTATTGTTGATATTGTTGATTCACTTGTTGGGACATATTCTTTTTATTGTTTGGGTGAGGAAGAGTGTAAAACATGAAGGGTGATGCCGTGCATGTTATTGTGAGAGTGTAAAGAACGAAGGGTGATGTCGTGCACGATATTATGAGTGTTAACGCACGAAGGGTGATGTTGTGTCATGATTTAAGAGTTAATGCACGAAGGGTGATGTCGTGCCATTTATGATGTTTCATATGGTGAGGACGAGAGTAAAAGCACGAAGGGTGATGTCGTGCACGTGTTACCGTTTCATTACTTTGATTAACTTAGATATGATGTTCATTATG